TGACAACAGATTTGGAGTGGCGTCAACGGTTTCTGAGATACAGAGGGGTTGATTCCTGGTGAAGTGTTTTGGATTTTATTTTTCAGCCGATTAGATGGGATTTTTTTAATTGTGTACTCATTTTGATCCTTTTCGGTAATGTCAAAGGATTTTACGTAGTTCATACGGTTATTTAGTTAAAAGGAAAAAAAAAAAACACTGAAAATCACACTTTGCCACACTTTTTCAATTTAGGGTATTTGATATTTTTATTTTCCAACAGAGATGAATGGGGTGATGCCCGTCTTTTGCATTATGTTCCTCGTTTTCGTCTCTTTAAAGAAAAAGAATTAAATGCATTAAACGTGTCCAAATCCTTACTGTGTCCACCTTATTACTGTGTCCACACTCTTTGTTTCAACACTTGCCGAATTGTTCCGCTCTTTCGCTGGCATCTTCTAGTAATTATAATTCGAAATACTTTGTTTGCTTGTGACAGTGGTGTTCGACAAGGAGTAAACTTATCACCTTTTCTATTTTCTTTACTTTTGATTGACTAAAAAAAATTCTTAGTGAGTAAAAATATTACAGGACTTAACAGAACTATACCAGAAAAAAATCGTATTAAGTTTCTAAATGCAGTATAAGTTTAAAATATTGCGTCAGTAGTGAATCTAGAACTTCAAGTGTGGAAGTTGTTTGCGACTTCACGAACTTAATTTAGATTTGCCGGTTATGGTCTCATTAATATTTACCACACCTTCATTCGATATTAGCTTCAGATGAAAAATTTTCTGCAAGTGAAATTGTTGAAACTAAGGATTCAGGTTTTAACAATTGAGGCGAGCGGAACCAGGCGTAACAATTGATGCCTACGGATTTTGAAGACATCGCCATAACATTATACCGCAAATCTATAAGTATATAAAATTGAATGCACCTTTCCATTAAAAAAATGATGAAATTAGAAGCCCCTTTTATTTCTTCCTATTCCTCTTTTTGGGGTTACAAATGACTGGTCCCTTATATAAGCCATTACCCTATCAAAGTTCGATTTTTTCCCATTCTTTTGTGTCTATCTTGAGAATATATAAAGAGAAACTCGAACAGCTAAAATAATCAGCAAGGCAAAATTTACATTAATGTACATACTAGAAATTCGTGTATTAACTTTTTATAGATTATTTTTTTTTTTATGGTGTACAGAAATTGACAAATATAATGCCCTCCCTTGTTAAAATGAGCAAAGAGCATGAAATAAAAGAATTATTTCTTAAATGTAATAATTTTAACCGTATGTTCATTATTGCAGACTCCGTATGTTTATTATTTTAGACCAATCGATTAAAACAAAACGTTGCAATTCATATATTTTGACATTTTTCCAACAATATCAGGTGTGATTTTTTACATCTTAAAACGAGGTACTAATATGCCAAGGTTTATCTCTTTTTAAATCTCAACCATTTTCCAAACGACAGCTAAAAATTTGAGCCTGACTAATTGTTACTCCGCAGAAGCAGATTGGAATCAGTTCTGACGTAGTGGGTAATCGCTTTAATCGTAATCATGTTCATTGACCATCAGGACGATGAATGCACATCATCATAATGATGTTTCGACATCATGATAATGATGTTCTGACATCATTTAAAGATGTAAACCGAACCACACCATATAACGATGTTAGCACATAACATAAGGATAAGTTCACATCATATTAAGAAGTTTGCACATAATATAAAGACATCTGTACATGATATAAGATAATTTGCACATCATATAAGACCATTTGCACATCATATAAGATAATTTGCACATCATATAATATAACTTGCACATCATATAATATAATTTGCACATCAGATAATGTCAAATTGTCATCATATAAAGGTGATTGCATATCGTATAAAGGTGATTGTACATCACATAATGCCGTTTCTACATCGTATAAGGAAAGCATCACATAATATAAGGACCCAATCACATAACATAATGGAAAAAGCACATCATTTAATGAATTGTGGACATGATATAAAGATGTTTGCACCTCATATAAATGTGTTTGGATAGCATATAAGGACAACTTCACATCATATAATGACAAGTGTACATCATATAAGGACAAGTTCACATCACATAATGACAAGTGTACATCATATAAGGATAAGTGCACATCATATAATGTCATTTGCATATCATATAAGGGTAAAATGACATCATATAATGGCAAATGAACATCATATAATGAGAAATGTCATAATAAGACAGTGCCGGCGTTCCATAGTCTTCCGTTGTCTTTCAAGATTATGAACAGATTTTCAAGATTGACAGACATTTTTTTTTCACTCTTTATTATAATTGATATGTTTCGACAACAGTTTCTGAAGTATACCAAGTCCAGAATGGCATTTGCTTTTGGTATAACTTTAGTATATATACAATTATACACACTATTTCTACATTTGAAATTTGAATGACGCCATTTGATACACACGACGTGAATATTTACTATAACCAGTATTTAAGTAAAAGTATTTAGAAAATGAGTTTCCTTATCAAGTTTTATTTTAAAAAGCAGAATTAACGATAAACATTTAATGTTACAAGGACGTTGTACAGATATCTTACATGGAGACTTCGATAGAATGGGAATCTTTTGGTTTGCTTTTGTTCAAATTTGCATTTTCTCAATTCATCTTAGAATACCATTTTTTTGAAACTTTTTTGGCATGTAATTTTTATCACAGTAGCAACAACCTTGTAGTTTTGGAAACATACATGTTTAAACAAGAAGATTTATTTTCGGATGAAATTTAAAAGGAATAATTGAGATGTTGTGTTTTAAGGTGTAAAATCATTAAGTCGGAAAAGGATATTGTATTTCATTGACCGAAATCCGATATTAAACCTTGATGACTAAAGTTCGATTTTTTTTTATTCGAAAACCACATAAAGTTTCATTTTAGATCAAAGGAAGTGAATTCCATAGTTTTATTACAAAATGACGTAAAACCATTAGAAATTATTGATTTAATAACTTATATTGTGTAAAAAACCCCACTGAAGATTTTATTATCCATATGATATGTTTGCACGAATGTAAACTTTTGAAAGCACCTTTGCATTAACAGTTGTCAGTAAACACAGCTGAAAATTTAATTTGAAATAATACTTTTACTATATTCGGTATATGTACTTTTAGGTTACACAATGTGCATAAAAGTCTGTGAATTATCATTATGCATGTACTTTGGTAACTGGGAACGGGGCGGGCGAGAAACATTATCGAAATTTAGTTTTTGCGTTCCCTACGTTCCAAAAGGGCTTAAAATGTACACCCTTTAAAACCTCTGGTATCTTTCGTCCCTCCTTTAAAACGGACCACCAATTTCCCAGGTAAGGGGATGTATGGGCGCTCGGAACAGGGTTTTAACCAGCCATTTTGTGTATGTGGCTGTCCCAAATCAGGAGTCTGAAATTCAGTGGTTGCATGTATATGATTGTTGTCTATCGTATTTTGTTTTTCCTTGGTTGTTTTATCATAGACGAGACCGTTGGTTTCTGCGTTTGTAGTTTGAATTGTTTAACATACATTTAAAGATTTCTAAACTCAAAATAATTTAATCAATCGTTGATATATTCCTTCCAAACGTAGCACGCTTTGTAACCCAATAAATATAATGTATTCTACACGTACGAAGAATTTTATGCATTAACAATTAAACATACGTCATAAGATGCACTAGAATTATTATCTTTGATCTCTGAAGAGACATTAATTGTCGAAATGCGCATCTGGTGCAGTAACATCTGTACCGTTTATGTTATTATCAAATTTCCTTGGGTTTTTCTTTTTTATTTGAGTTGCATGAAATGTACTACACTTGGGTAACATTTTCCTAAAAGTAAAATTTCGTCTTCTCTTGGGTTTTATCCCAAAACAACCTTATGCTGCTGTGTATGAATGTGTATTACTGTACAACGGCTTGACGTGTAACATCACGATCTTTTGTGTCTTGGCCTTTGACCTCAAAGTCTAATAAGTGATTTTATGAAACTTTTTCGGGTCCGGGCCATTACTTAGTCTCTTTTCATTCTTTGACTTAGGATTTGATATTTGATAAAATGGACGCATCACTCAAAACCATTTGTCGCAAACGATTTTAGATGAGCTGACCTTGACCTTAAACCTCAGGGTTAATAATTGATATTTGTATCTACATTTTTGTATCTGGGCGATGACTTTTGTATCTTTTGACATTGGCGTTTGATATTTTTGCATTTGGATGCAACATCTCCAAACAATGCGTCCCGTGCCTTGTAGATATCCTTAACTTCAAATAATGTATTGGCCATAATTAATTTATCCTTTGACAGGAATATATACAAATATACATCACCTGAAGACAATGTGTCTGGTATTATTGCAAATGACTGAACAAGTAAAATAATCGACATTTTTGGAACATTATCTGACAGACTTTTATAAATGAATTGGAACGTATGTGTATCCTAAAGTTCATCTTAATAGTATCTGGATTTCAGTCCAAATTTTTCTGGTTAGATGAGTTTAAGGAGTACTTTACAAGGGGATATACCATTATTGCAGTATGTCAAATAACTGTTTTTTTTTTTAAATGAGGCAGGCGAGACATGTATCTCTGTTGTTGAACGTTTTATCTTCAAAACTGATAATTACTACATGTTGAAATCCAAAATAAGGTAACATGGCGGTACTACATGTATGTTTCTGTTTAACTACCTTGTAATTATGTCATCCTTTCAAGGTCAAGACGCAAATCAGATTGTCAAATTAAGGTCATGTTCAACAAACAGTTTTGATCAGTCGCTTTGAAAAGAAAATTATTTGCTTTCATCATAGTAGTATTTACTAGTAACTGATAGTAATTTTCATTTGCACATCAAGGCGTTGAGTTGAGCTGATAAGCTTAATTAAATATTCAGAATCATTATTCCGAGATTATTCGAGCAACTGAAGAATTATGAGTTTAAATGAGTTTAAGCAGATAAGTAAAACATTTATTAACAAAAAAATTAACCACTTAGTCATCTTGGTCAAATATATGTTCATCAGTGGCAAGTTTTTTAACCAGAAATAAGCATCTTAATCGGTCCAAGTGTGGACAAATTACAAGACTACCAATTTGAAAGATCTGCCACAAGAATCAATTTCTCAAAGATAGACCAGTCTCACAAGACTGACGAGGCTTCTAACAGGTTCATAGACGTCGGCAATTATGAATAAGTTTTGTTTACGTATTCAACCATTACCTTTTTTTGTTATTATCTCAGTCAGTTGTATAACGCATGCTATAAGAAGGAAACGGTAAAAATGAGTTTCAAAAGAGCAATATAGTTGTCGATAAAATGGTTCATTGTATAAAAGACGACAAAAACAGAGGTACCATTAAACGGTAAAAGTGATACCTTACCACTAAATGCTTAATAAATGTTCAATAAAATAAATCAGCCTAAATATAAAATCAGATACAAATGAAAGCTGCTTCAGTAAAACCGTCATCATAATTGCACACAAAAGCAATTAAAATCTTTATACAAATAATTACATAAACGAACATACATGTAGCCTTAAATTGGAAATTATATTATATCATTTGTATAAATAGGGAAAGGCACAATAATACAGGGACATAGATGGTGTAGACATGACTAGAGTTGCACATGCTTTCATGACAACATAATCTCATAGAACAGCCAAGTACTAGGTAACCATGGTCTTTTGACAAACATTCATCATATTCGTACAAAGGAGTGGGTACACATTCTCCTGAAGAACATGTTCTAATGACGGATTCATATCGCGTCTTGTTGTCATGCATTTGGTATAGAACTTTCTGAAAGAAAATAATATTGATAAGTACCATAAAAATAAACCGAAGAAACTAAATATAAAACAGAACATAATTATTTATATTTATTCAAAAAAAATTAAAATATTGGCTTATATGACCTTTTTCAAATAGTGTTATGCATGCAGGAAACGCAATTTCATCGAGAGCGTATATATTGCAATAAATTACTTATGTTTGATATAGAAGAGAGATATTGAGACTTTTTGCATGAACAAACTTATCAACATTATTTACAATTTTGTAAGTCATCTTGCTTATACTTGCTACAGTATTATATTAATTTTTATTTCGATTATAGCTTTTTATCTCTATACTGCTTTTATTGTTGTTGCTATTTCAAATTTCCTTTAATCTCCGATCTAATTCTAATAATTGCCATGAATGCTATTTATTTCTTTACCAATGAGATGAAAATAAATATCAACAAGTATTTATAAATGACCAATAAGCCCATTGTATCTGATTTTTCATTAATACAACTGTATTGTAAATTGACTTTAATTAAAAAGAAACTGGTCCAGTTTGCTTGAAATTGCCGACTGAGATACCAGTTAGTTTATTGTTTTTTTTTCTGTTTAAACAAATTTCAGTCATATATCATCGTATTGATAATGAGGTGTACTATGTTAAAGTAAAACAACCGTTACGGTTTATCACAGAGTCAACAACGTGTTCATGTTCCTGACCAAAGGCTGAAACCCTTTCATTGATTCTTTTGTTATCTCATGATGTGATTTTGTTATGTTATCTCATGATGTGATTTTGTTATGTTATCTCATGGTGTGATTTTGTTATGTTATCTCAGGATGTGATTTTGTTATGTTATCTCATGATGTGATTTTGTTATGTTATCTTAGGGTGTGATTTTGTTATTTGAGGAATATGGTGTTGATGGCAGATCTTTCTTAGTCTCTTTTGAATTTATTAAAGACAATTTCGAGCAGATTAAGAGTTTGGCATATATTGTATTAAAACCTATTTATTGATGAAAACTGTATGTTGAACTCCCGAAGGAATTTACTTTTATGTGTTTGTCGTAAGATTGTTTGTGTAAAGAGAAACAAATCAGTATAACGATCAAGTATTCATTGGGGTATAGATATTGGGCAATCCTGCACTTCTTCGATCCGACAATAAAAAAAAAGGCTAAAGAGGAGAGTATTTTCGAAGTCAAGGTCGGTCAAACATGGGATGTTAAATCCAATGATTAGTGTAGGAGGAGTGAGACACCCTAAGCACTTTGAAGAAACATTGCAACAACTGTCTGAAGATTTAAAACGAACGTCTACAGTTGATGCATGGTCATGTTGTGACCCTACCATGCTTAATCTGATTAAACTAATGTCGTTGGGTTGCTATCTCTTTAAATACAATGTTGATATCTCGTCTCCTTTTGATAAGGATGAAGATAACAGTAACTGTCAAATCAGAAAAATGTTTCCGGGTAAATGAATAAACTCTGTAAGATTAGAATAGACAAATTAGAAAAGTAACTAGAGCCTAACTGACGAATATATCGGCACATCCGAGGAAAAAGAAACTTGATGAATTACGTATAATTAAGATAATTGATTGAAAATCTATTTTATCTTACCAAACAACTTTCCCCTTTCTTACACGAGACCTTCTCCGCTTTATAATTATTCTCTGGATCACCATCGCAGTCATCAGAGATACATTTCCAACACTTTATACCATATGTTCCCTCTAAAAATTGTATGAATTAATTAGATTTAAAATCGTCAAAAAACAATACATTCTATATAATCGTGACTTCAAAATGAAAAAAACAACAACATATAAATTGAAGTGATAGCACTGTTGATACTGTTGAATTGTCATCAATAGAAACGTCCCGTGAAATAAAGTTCGGAGAAACATAATTATCGTTCTTCCCTTCGCCTACACCATCCTACTCAGTCGCTCCGTTATTTTCGTATCACGTTTTTGAGAGGTGAGCAGGCAAATCAGCGACGTCACAATGTCTGAGGAGACGTTACAAAGCTTGCTTTCGTCAAGCGTAAAACTTTTAAATGGAGGGGAAAAGACAAGCAATAGAACGATAAACAGATAATCGGGTTTTCTACGTATAGCTATCGTAAAATATTAGCCGCTCGACACAATGTGAAACATGTTTGCTCGGTCGCTGCGCTCACTTTTCTAAAAGGTTCACATTGAGGCTTGCGACTGATAGTTTACGATATCAATGTGTAGAGAACCCGATAATCTACACTTATATCTCTGTGAATAATCCTGTGAAAAATTAATAGAAAGCAACCCAAAGTCTGTTTATTACAAATGTAATTACTCAAAATGTATACCCGTTCCTTACAAAATGTATTTCGAATCTTTTAAATACATTTGTCGAAAGTGCTGTTATTTCAAGTATTAAAACTATCGAAAAATATCCTGTTTTGGTTGTCTTTGTTAGTCAAAGGGACATTACATGTATCTGTCAAATTAATGTTCACCGAATTAACTCAAATTCTCAGATTTGATTTATAACATTCTAAAACGTATATCCAAACTACAAAGGTCTCACAGAAACAATTAACAATGCATGGACTCGTTATAATGTATCATCATTACGTGTGTATTTTAGACAAGACGAAATTTAATATTAACTATCGAGATGACCTCCGAAGACTACCGATTGTCATATGACCAAATATAAATAGACAGACAAGCACGTACAATCGTATAATGACTATTTTTGTAGGTCTGTCTAATTTCATTTCATAGGTTAAAAAAAATATGTAAGTTATCGTTTTATACCTTATAAGAATGATTTTTTGTGGGCATATTCAGTCAACGAAATGATTCATCATGGTGGCTCCCTTGTTTCACTTTTCGATCTTGACATTCTTTTCTTTTTAATAACTTATCACTATAACATGCCGAACATATGCGTAACCCATATCCCTCTAGAGTCAAATAAAATATCGCACGAATACGGATTCATATGAGGTTGAACTGGGTTTTTTTTTTCGATGTGGTCAAAGGTCTATTTTTTAAAGAAAAAATATGGAGGTTCTCAATTTCAGCAAAGATATGGATGATAAGAATACTAAGTTCGTGCTATTCTTATCCTAGATGAAATTTAAATAAGAGCAGGTACTCTCATAACTGTACAGTCAACATCGTGTTAAATTCTCATTACTGTAAAGTCAACATCGTGTTACATTCTCATGACTGTAAAGTAAACATCGTGTTACATTCTCATGACTGTAAAGTCAACATCGTGTTACATTCTCATGACTGTAAAGTCAACATCGTGTAACATTCTCATGACTGTAAAGTCAGCATCGTGTAACATTCTCATTACTATAAAGTCAACATCGTGTAACATTCTCATTACTGTAAAGTCAACATCGTGTTACATTCTCATGACTGTAAAGTCAGCATCGTGTAACATTCTCATGACTGTAAAGTCAGCATCGTGTAACATTCTCATGACTGTAAAGTCAACATCGTGTTACATTCTCATGACTGTAAAGTCAACATCGTGTTACATTCTCATGACTGTAAAGTCAACATCGTGTTACATTCTCATGACTGTAAAGTCAACATCGTGTTACATTCTCATGACTGTAAAGTCAACATCGTGTTACATTCTCATGACTGTAAAGTCAACATCGTGTTACATTCTCATGACTGTAAAGTCAACATCGTGTTACATTCTCATGACTGTAAAGTCAACATCGTGTTACATTCTCATGACTGTAAAGTCAACATCGTGTAACATTCTCATGACTGTAAAGTCAGCATCGTGTAACATTCTCATTACTATAAAGTCAACATCGTGTAACATTCTCATTACTGTAAAGTCAACATCGTGTTACATTCTCATGACTGTAATGTCAGCAGCGTGTAACATTCTCATGACTGTAAAGTCAGCATCGTGTTACATTCTCATGACTGTAAAGTCAACATCGTGTTACATTCTCATGACTGTAAAGTCAACATCGTGTTACATTCTCATGACTGTAAAGTCAACATCGTGTTACATTCTCATGACTGTAAAGTCAACATCGTGTTACATTCTCATGACTATAAAGTCAACATCGTGTTACATTCTCATGACTGTAAAGTCAACATCGTGTTGCATTCTCATGACTGTAAAGTCAACATCGTGTTACATTCTCATGACTGTAAAGTCAACATCGTGTTACATTCTCATGACTGTAAAGTCAACATCGTGTTACATTCTCATGACTGTAAAGTCAACATCGTGTTACATTGTCATTACTATAAAGTCAACATCGTGTTACATTCTCTTGACTGTAAAGTCAGCATCGTGTTACATTCTCATGACTGTAAAGTCAGCATCGTGTAACATTCTCATGACTGTAAAGTCAACATCGTGTTACATTCTCATGACTGTAAAGTCAGCATCGTGTTACATTCTCATGACTGTAAAGTCAGCATCGTGTAACATTCTCATGACTGTAAAGTCAGCATCGTGTAACATTCTCATTACTGTAAAGTCAACATCGTGTTACATTCTCATTACTGTAAAGTCAGCATCGTGTTACATTCTCATTACTATAAAGTCAACATCGTGTCACTACACATTCCTGTGTAACTCCTAGGTCAACTCGTGTTATCGTTAGAGCGTTTTTATAAATCCGCTATTTTTTAAGAAAATAAAATAAATACATGTTGATTCCAATGATTACATTTTACACTAAACTTGACTGAATATGTGAAATTATTAATATACCATTCCCGAATGTTCGCCTTGTGGCTTTTTTTTAATATCTTTTTTTTCAAATTTCGATTCCAAATGGAATTGTTATTAAGTCTCTTTTTGTTATATTTTATAAGCCGATTTGTGGTAAAATATAATTTATAAGCTTATAAATGATGTTCGGGTGTCAACATTTCTGTTTCCCGATTTGTTTTGGGGGCCAATGGGAATATCATTACCAAACTTCGCATGATAATTTCATATGGGAAGACTACCCTATTATTTTTTGGGTCAAAGGCCAAGGTCACAGCAGCTTTTCATTGACTACAATTTGGGCAAAATTTTGTTTTCCGAATGTTATTTTTTTAACCATATGTTCAACCTATAACAATCCTTACAATCTCTCAAAGGGACCCGTACAATTAGAAAGTTATTTATCTTTTCGAAGTGGCAGTAGAAAGTTACTGATTTTACAAATTTCCTTTTTAATAATTTGTTGAAAATGCATGAAATAATTACCACTGGACTTTAAGCAAACAGCAATCAAACAACCATGTTTACCTGCACTGTGAATTGTTAAAACATTTGGATAAATTTTGTATGAATACAATATATGGGGTATACGTCAATGGGATAGAACCCAAACAACGCGAAAGACAAACCACAACTTTAATTTTGTTTACATGTATAATAAACAATTTGTTGTATTACTTATATTTGGTGACACGTCTATTCGTTAGTAAACAGATATAATGTCCTTCTATTTTTCTATATCCATTTCATCTCATCATATTGAAGTTAAAAGTTTTGTTTATTATTATACAATGCATTTTCTTTACAACAGTAAATTAGAGTAAACAAATTTGATAAATGCTTCTAGTGTGAAACATTCAACATCAAGTAATTTACTTCATTTTATCTTAAAAGTATCTGAACAATCTTTATTGAAGTTCGATTTCCGCTGGCTGTACATAACCAATGATCAAACGAAACAACTTGATAAAATGTACGACATTATTTTTAAATACAAACGACTCCAAAGGTGAATACGGATACCAAGAATATAAAGCATCAGTATATTTTGATAAGATTAACAATAACAAGCTTTCCATCAAACAAACACTCATCATACGCGAAAGAAATAACGTTTAAAAGTCTAAAAGTCATTTCATAAAATATAAACAAAAAAGAAATTGATAAATACAAAGACCCTAATTGCAAAAACAAGCGCTGAGAGAATCGTTTATTTGGCTGTATAGGAAATAGAAATACGCAGCAACGTTTGGTCGGATTCGGGACATTAAGGTATGACTCATGGAGGGAAAATACCACACTCTTTGGGTGTTAAATAACTCTTGCAACAACTTTTTGTTATGGTAATACTTAAAACAAATTTAGATGAATGAGTAAGTTGGTATGTCTTAACGATGAAACACTATTAAACATATCGAACCTCTTCCCCGGATTAAGCTGTTTAAATTATCAAGAACGCTCAGAAACAAAAATGTACGGTAACCAAAAGATGTATGAATGCACTTCAAGCTTTATCATCAAATGAGTCGTAATAAAGGCTGTGAAAATTTGCGTCACGTAAAGAATGATCTAACTTAGAAGTACGTTAAAGCATTATTACTTTTTGTCTGTCTCCCTACAAAAAAACAAAATAAAAATAAAACTTAAATTTTGGGCAATATTCTCTGAGATCATTTCCTCGGAGATAATATATAGCTCTGAACAACGCTTTTTATGGCCCCGCAACAAAGTTGTCGGGGCCATATAGTTTTACCCTGTCCGTCATTCCGTCATTCCGTCATTCTGTCATTCCGCAACAAACCATTATACGCAATTTGTTTCTAAACGCCTTCAGATATTGGGCTGATTTTTGGTATGTGAGTTAACCATGATGAGTTACAGATCAAGTTTAAGTTTCGTTCCGCTCTGCTAATTTTTGCCGAAATTACGGACTTTGGCATTTGATAAATTGTTGAAAATCACAGTTATACGGACTTTTTTTCTA